ACTCCGGGGCTCCCCGTCCTGGGCCTCGCCGCCCTTGGTCCGCAGACGAGGAGCTGGACTCGGGATTTCAAAGGCCGCCTCGGCGCCGACCTGCTCTCCCTTAGGATTCTGCCCAAATGCGGGAGGTTGGGCGGGGGGCTCCGACGGCCCTTCCTCCCGGGGAAGATGGACAAGTTTTTAGCTCGTTTTATTGGTTTCGATGGCGGAGCAGAGAGGGGAGGGTTCAGTGCGTTGGCCCACGGAGGAGCAAGTGCTGGGGAAGTGGTGATGAAGGCACCGGCTCTTCTCCAACTTCTCAGCGCCCTGTTATTCCTGCGGAAAAGGCGAGGTGGCAGCTGCTTCCCCGTCTGCCGCGGCCTCGGCTTCTGCAAAGGGTCAGGGAGCTACTGCTTCGCAGGCAGCTGTAGGGAAACGGGGTTTTCTAACGTGTGGCAGGAATAAGGCCAAGGCCAGGGCTTCCGAGGTGGCCTTTGCAGTCCAAGGGTCTGGAAGCAGAAAAATCCATCTTCTTAGGGGTGACTTCTTTAGGAAAGCCTAGTAGGGGGTCGTGTGTGTGTGTGTGTGTGTGTGTGTGTGTGTGTGTGTTTACCTTGACTAGAAACGCCCTGTGTTTTGTGTCTTAACTATAGGAAAACTTTTCCTGTGTGATTTCACTTCCCCTAGTTAACAGTTCTGAAGATGTGCCTATAGTCAACCAATTAGAAACTTTTAGTTTGACATCTGTTGCTGCAGCTTCTTGATTAGGAGTTGGAAATGAGCTAAGGGGGTATTTAATATTCAGGTAGGACCTCCTAACATCCCTTCTCTTTTAGGACCAAAATTTGTCCAGTGTGGAGGGAAATCAGAGGTGGCTTGTTGAACTGAAAGGACTCCCACTTTTCCACTTCTGATTTTACAGTGGAAACTGAGGCCCAGAGATAGGCAGTGACAGTGCCAAAGTCACTCAGCACCTAATAGGCCAGTTAATTTCTTAACCCCATTATCTGATTTACTTCCAAGCCCCATGCTTAATTAAGTCTTTGGTAAATAAAAAAAAAATTGGCCCTGTTCTTTCTTCCAGGCTCTTCCCTCCCACCCTCAATTTTTTTAAAGTTAATTATAATACACTTACAATTCTTGAATGGAAAGATGTTATTTTAAAATGGTCAGGGTGGGTTAATGGCTTTATTATTACAAACCTCTATCAATGAATAAGTGAATGAATGAACGAGAGCAAACAGCTGACTAGATACTAAGATGGTCCGGATTAGGGCACATGTTGAAGTGAAATGCTTAATTCTAAGCAATGAACTCAGCCTCTTGAAAACACTGCCTACCTTCTGTGTAGGTTGTTGGGAGCCTTCACTTGATCAGCTTATGATAATAATATTTTCCAATCCTTAAGAAAAAGAATTTTCCAGTTCTTTTAAACCTTTTGGAAGCTGTCACATCTGAATGAATGTGCTGCTGCGATTGGGGCTCCGTGTACCCAGTGACCCCACTGGAGAAGCCTGCGCTGGGCCACGTTGAGTGTTTCTCACACACTGTCTAGAAGAGAAGCAGCCTACGCCTGCCACTGCACTTCCCAAAAGGCAATGCTTCTGAAGGAGCAGGGTTTCGAGGTGGAATCGCTCACGATTCGTTTCAAGGTGGTGTAGAGTCATTATTTCTGAAAGGGATTCTATTTCATTCTCACAGGCTTGGGCAGGAATTCAATTCTAAGGAACTGCTGTGTTACAGGAATGTTTAGCTGTTGTAGAAAATGAAATAGGAAAAATAAACAGTAGAGCCCTTGCTACCACCCTTCTTTCTCCACCCACCCCCAAAGGCCACTGAGCTCTGAAGTTTCTGAAAACCAGTATGTACTTGAAAGTGGTTAAGTAGAAATAGTAACTATTTATCTTGTAAAAGGGTGTAGCAGGGAGCTTTTTTAAAGAATAGCACCAAAAATCCAACTTGGGCAGCTTAACTCATTTTATGTAGACATTGGCAGTGTTCTGTGATTTATTAAGATACTAGAGGCCCGGTGCACTACATTCGTGCACTGGGGGATGAGGGGTCCCCTCCATCCGGCCTGCGCCCTCTCGCAGTCCTTAGCGCTGCTGCAGCCCGCCACCGCAGCTGCACTCGCCAGCCGTGAGCCCGGCTTCTGGTGGCTTCTGGCTTCTGGCTGACCGGTGCTCCCCCTGTGAGAGCACACTGACCACTAGGGGGCAGCTCCTGTGTTGAGCGTCTGCCCCCTGGTGGTCAGTGCGTGTCATAGCGACCAGTCGTTCCCCTGTTTAGTCGATTTGCATATTAGGGTTTTATTATATAGGATAACATGCTTTTAAAACAGTCCTCTAAATCAACATATTCTGGCTTTTTTTCTGGAGAAAAGTGGAAGTATAAAGAAATTGTTGGAGTAGGAAAGAAACATATGCCAGGGTCAAAAGGCCTGAGTGGCCTTAGCCAGGTCATTTCCCTATTCTGGGTGGCTTCAGTTTATTCCTCTAACAGTGGTTCTTAACCTGTGGGTTGCGACCCCTTGGGGGGTCGAACAACCCTTTCACAGGGGTCGCCTAAGACCATCCTGCATATCAGATATTTACATTATGATTCATAACAGTAGCAAAATTACAGTTATGAAGTAGCAACGAAAATAATTTTATGATTGGGCCCTAACCGGTTTGGCTCAGTGGCTAGAGTGTCGGCCTGCAGACTGAAGGGTCCCAGGTTCGATTCCGGTCAAGGGCATGTACCTTGGTCGCGGGCACATCCCCAGTAGGAGTTGTGTAGGAGGCAGCTGATCGATGTTTCTCTCTCATCGATGTTTCTAACTCTCTATTCCTCTCCCTTCCTCTCTGTAAAAAATCAATAAAATATATTTTTTAAAAAATAATAATTTTATGGTTGGGTCACAACATGAGGAACTGTATTTAAAGAGCCAGAAGGTTGAGAACCACTGCTCTAGAAAGTGAGATTGGGACCAGCGAGGTTGCACTGGTGATTGCTAAATTTTCCTCCATCTAGCATTCCATTATTCTATTATCTTGACCTGAAATCTCCCAGCCACAACTCTAGGAAATCACCTCTTCTGCCTCCTACAAGGTTTGTCTCTGTGAATTTAAGGAGCAGTTCAGTCTCTTAGGGTTTACATGTGGAACTGGCTAACATGAGGCCAGCTTCCTATCAGGGAAGTAGAGTATGCTGAGAGTTGCTCTCTTCCCTAATAATGTCCAGTGGTATATAAATCAAGTAGATTCTTAGGTAGAGTGACACATTGCTGTGTCTGAAAGACCTTTGACAGAGTTGAATCTGACAAAGCTGTCCCAATTTGTAACCATATGTAAATGGTGACTTTTACTGGCCTAAACTGCTTTTAGATGCAAGGGATGCTTATGTTGATGGGACAGCTTTTATTGAGCACCTACTATCTGCAAGACACCATCATAGAATTAAAAAACGACTCATGACTCACTAATCCAACCACATGAAAGTGGTAATTCATTGGAATAAAAAGCAGTTTTGTTATTTTCTCCATGAAAAGGCCTGAATTAATTGATGCTGGTTTCCTATCAGCTTACTCTTTAAGAATTTAAGGAATAAACTGAAATTCAGAAGCCTCTCAAGAACATCTGTGCAGCATCTGTTTCAGTGTCAACAGCCCCAAGTCATTTCCACAGGCATTCGGTTTCTGTTAGGTTTTTGAATGTTTCCCCCAGTCAAGCTGGTACCAACATTCTTAAATAAAAGCATGTTCTTCACATCTCAGCTGCTGTGCCGCCTTCACTTATTATTCTGCCTCCAGTCTGTATTAGAAAGTCAGCAGCAGGGGGCAGCTTCTTCTGTGTGGTTCCACCTTGTGAGAATGTCTGCCTCTCTCTCCACTTCTCTTTGTGGAGCAGCTGTGAGGTAATGCAATAATTAGAAGCGGATGCTCAGAAATAAAGTATTTCAGAGAGTTGTCATCCTGTTATCAATGTCAAAATAGTGTGTCCCATATCCCATTACCATAGTCCCTCTCCTGCTTTTTTTTTTTTTTTTTAAGTTCGCAACTCCTACAGGTCTGAAAATGTCCTATCACTCCCAGCTTCAAAAACCTTGGGGGGCTCTGTCTCATCTGAAGGAAAGTCAAAGCTGTTCTGATGTGCATCCCACCCCCCAATTTCTCCCTACATGGGCAGTGACCTCCGCCTAATACTGTCTAATCTGGGGCTCCTTCACTCACACCTCTGTCATCTTCACCTGAAGCTCTAAGTCTTGGCTCTTTGCATCTGGAATGCTTCCTGTCTACCTTACAGTAGGGGACCTCCCCCTAATGATCTCTGCTGTGGGATCTCTCCTTGCTGACTGTGGACCACAGGTTTTCAGGGAGGACTTGGTTTATAATACACCCCAATGTGATGGGAGTATTCTCTTTGTGGGTGTCCTGTTCTGCAGCTCAGTAGGAAACGTCTGAAAATATGGCCTGCTCCTTGTTCTTCCTCCTCCCTCTCCAGTCCCTGGAAAAGGAGAGAAGCCCATTAAATTGACAGATGCTCTTTCCATGGAATTGGCAACTCTGACTTTTATTTGCTTCCCATCAGGTAAGGCACCTGTATATCTGCGATTTCCACAAAAATTTCATCCAAAGTGTACGAAATAAAAGGAAGAGGAAGACAAGTGACGATGGTGGAGATTCTCCTGAGCACGACACTGACATTCCTGAGGTAACGGTCAAAAACATCGGCTTGAGAAAGCTGGAAGGACGGGTTCTAATTTGGTCCTTACCTCTGGCCTGGTCTGCTTTTTTGTGCTAAAAAGTCATTTTAGTCCCTTTGTTTTGCTGTGGTTTATTTGAAACGTGAATCACAGAATCAGAGTAATCTGAGAGCTGAACGCTTAGAAATTGACTGGTCTGACTGCCCCATCATTTTACAAACGGGCACAAGGACCTGAGGTCACACGGACAGTTTGGGGGCTCCGGTCTGGTGCCCTTTTCAGTAGCCACACAGCCTTTTTGTAAGAAACCCCTGGCAAATGGTTAAATCCAACCACAGTGTCAAGTTTTTTCAAACTTTGTTTTTGTCTTAAAGTTGGAGACTGAGTTTGTATGGTTTGGGGAAGTCACTTCCCCTCTGTTTTCTAGGCTGCAAAATGAAGGCATAAGTTGTCAGTTTATCCCAGCTCTGATTTTCTGTCACTCTCCAATTCCTGGTCCAGGTTTGTTCCCAAGGATCATTCCAAAGTCATTATACTGGACCAGAGTTCTCAACCCTGGCACTATTGACATTTGGGGCCAGGTAACTCTTGTTGTAGGGGCTGTCCTGTGAATTGTAGGATGTGTAGCAGCATCCCTGTATTCTACCCACTGGATGCCAGTCACACCACTCCCTGAGTCATGATGATAAAAAATGTCTCCAGACATTGCCCAATGTTCTCGGGGTAAAGGTGGGGGACAGAATTGCCCCATGTTGAGAACCACTGCACTAGACGATGAGACCTAGGCTTCTCAAACCAGAGGCCGCCTTTCCTTCAGAGGGCCAGTGTCCATAAAACAAGGCTACAGGAAGGAATATCGGATTCTTTTTCTACTTAAATTGTTTTCACTTAAGACTCAGCAAAGAAGAACTGTTTATAGTGTACATTGAATATTTGACGCATGAATATTTCATAAGGCAATGGCCTTTTAGCACTCAGTGGAAATGACTGTAGGAATAGAAAGAGTAGGCGGGCTTTTATCTGCAGATGAGGAAACCTTGGAAAATATAGCCCTTACCCTCTGCCCCTCCCTATGCCCCTTTTTTAATATTGGTTTAATGTATCTTCCAATTGCCTCTAGCATTATTAAATTTTATAAAGAAATGGATGTATTCAATTTCTAAATGCTTTTCACAAAATAAAAAAAAGAAAAAGGTTTGAGGAATGTTTTGAAAAGAATGAAGGACTTTGGTCCCTCATATTGATCATTCATTTTGTTTTTAAGTGCTCTCCACCTGCCTGAAGCAAGAACATCTCTTTTAGAGGCAGGTAAAGGCAGCCCAACTTTCTGGGCCTTCAATGTTTCATGACTGTGCAGCTTTCCTCTCTTCTGTGTTAGGAGAAAAAGGGGGGGTCCTTTCCCCTTTGTTATCCAGTCATCTGCAGAGACCCTGACCCTAACCTGCTGATTTGTACACTCGCCACAGTAGCTTTTGAGCTTTCTCTGGAGGGTTGTTAAGGATTCTAATACCTGAAGGCTGAGCCTAGGAAATCACTATTTGAGAATAACAGTACTTCCCACTGTTCTTCACGCTTCTCTATCCAGTCTGCTGCCAAACTCTGGCCTGTCTTCCTTCAGGATGTCTTTCTGGTTTGACCTTTGCTCATGCCTGGTTTCCCCCTCTAGCATCACCACCCCTCCAAAGCTCTGCTTCATCATCTCACTTCTGGATCGTTGCTACAGCATCTCCCTCTGCCTGTCCCCGCCCATCAAACCACCTCTAGATCCATCTTCCTGGAATATCACCTGGCATGCTACCACCCAGTTTCACTCCTTAACCCCATCAGGATTGCTTATGACCCCCTAGCCCATCTATTCATTTCCTGGCTTTCTGTGCTCATGATCTTCTCACTCATTCCCTACTCTTGCTCAGTTCCTCACTGCCTTTCTAAACCCTGTTCTCCTTAGTTAAGCTTCACTGCTTCCATCAGCCTTTTGGAACCAGCCTTCCCCAGCCAGAACTCGTTCCACTGTTATTTTTGTCCTCCCAGCTAGTTATTAGTCCTCAATGGACCATTTCTAAGACTTCTTTGTAGTCATATCCACCCCACCCCTAGTGTAGTGCTAGGCACATAGTGGGCTCTCAGTGAGTCATGGCTGCTCAGGTGATGCATAATGTGTTTCTCCTCTTCTCTCCAGGTTGATCTGTTCCAGCTACAGGTGAACACTCTACGACGTTATAAACGACACTACAAATTGCAGACCAGACCAGGCTTCAATAAGGCCCAGTTAGCAGAAGTAGGTAGACAAAATTGCACTCTCCAAAGAGAGAGCCATTGTGCCTCTGGTGGTGACCTTGATTCTCCCTCCTGCTCTGTTTGCCTGTGGATCATAATCCCCTCCATAGCTCTGGAAGCAGCTTTCTAGTCCATCTTTTGCACAATTTAGAATCCCACAGCTTAAAACTTAGAAAGGCTCAGATTTTTATAAAAGAAAATCAAGAGAGAGGAAAGTACTTGCTTAAACTCACAGCAAATTGGTGTGATTCCAGAATTGAGCCTGGAACCTCAGGACTCCTGATTCTAAGCCCTGAGTGTTCTTTTGTTTGTTTATTTGCTTGAATCTTGTTTTCCAAGATTCTTTATAAATATGGTCCTTCCTACATATCAGATGTGTCAGATTAATCATCTTAGAACCTTCACTCATGTCCTATAGGAGCTATTTTTCTTCTTTTTGGTTTTTTTCCTTGATTTCTTCTACTCTGATGTTGGTAATGGAAATATTTATTACAAGAATGGAGCCCAAGAAAGGTTTCTCCTGCCCTGAGTTAACATAGTTTGGATGGTGGAAAATGCTCCATTGGCTATTATTTTAATATAATGACAGCCTGGCTTGATACTTCTGTCCTGTTGGCACTAGTGTGGGTACTCTCTCATCCCCCTTTTCTGCTTATTGTAGAAAATTTGGAAAATGGAGAAAAGAAAAATACAACCCTACGATCCAGAGATAACCACTCTATAGTTCTTTCTCTCTCTTTTTTCTGTCCTAGTCACTCGGTCTATTCAGAGATTCCCTAAAGGCTCACAGCCCCACTGTTTTTGTCTTTCCTTTAGAGGTATCTTGCTGATCCATCATTTTTTCTTTAACTTCTCCTTCACCAGCATCCAGATAAAACATAGGGGCACACAAGCCTTTCCTACTTTAAGACTGCATTCACCACTTGCCAGTATCCACCCCTGGTGGAAGAGATAGGATAAGGTGGGGCAAGAGGAGACCTGTTCTCAGGACTTATAAAATAAAGCAAAGTTTCAGGAATAGAGAGTAAATGGTTCATTTTTCTTCAAATATGGTGTGTCTTTCAAGATGAATTCTTGGGTCACACACTTACATCTCTTCAGTAGGCTACTTATTTGACATAATTTTTAAAAAGACACTTTTTTGCCAAGTACCAGAGCCTGAGAGGTTATGGTAGCAGCTGGCCAAGCAGAGCAGTCCTGGTCTCTTCATTTGTGGAGGTGACCTTGAGATCATGATGGGCAGCTGGCTGCCACTAAAATAGAAAGACTTGCATCTTGGGAGTATTGAGGATTAAAGTCCTGCTTTGGAAGCCTGGAAACCAGTCACCTAAACCCCAGGGAAAGAGGGTAGTCTGAGTTCTGCAGCTCTGCAGAGTTCTGTAGTGATCTTAACCCCCTCCATAGCTCTGGCAGCAACTTCCTGGTTCCTCTTTTGCACAATTTAGTCTGTGGCCCTGATTTATGCATGGTTTTTGGTGTGTTTTTTTCTTTTCTTTTTTTTTTTTTTTTTTTTTTTTGCCTCCATGTAGACTGTCAGTCGACATTTCAGGAACATACCTGTGAATGAAAAAGAGACCCTTGCCTACTTCATCTACATGGTAAAGAGTAACAAGAGTAGACTGGACCAGAAGTCAGAGGGCAGCAAGCAGCTTGAGTAAGGATGAAGCACATCTTCCAGGAATGAAGTATAATGTTTAATGCACAGGTGATATCTGCTACATTTAAGTAGACTGTCAGTCGACATTTCAGGAACATACCTGTGAATGAAAAAGAGACCCTTGCCTACTTCATCTACATGGTAAAGAGTAACAAGAGTAGACTGGACCAGAAGTCAGAGGGCAGCAAGCAGCTTGAGTAAGGATGAAGCACATCTTCCAGGAATGAAGTATAATGTTTAATGCACAGGTGATATCTGCTACATTTAAGCCCATAAAGACTTACAAGTTTTATTATAAATAAAAATGTTTGAATGATAAATACTGTAAATCTTTTTGGTCAGGAGGGTTATATTCTCCTGATTCAGCATGTGTATATGAAGACTTTCTTTTAAGGCAACTACTGGGCTGAAACAAACAAGATCATAAAAAGAATGAAAGAAAAATTATGTATTGCAGCATTTAAAACAGCATTAAGTCCGTGCTACTAGAAATGAGGGATACAAATATTTTGGTAATCACCTTATAATCCCACACTGCCACGTGTGAAATGTAGTCCTGTAATAGCGGCAGAGTACAGGTGATGGTGGAGGTGCGTGAACAGACGCAAACGTGCTGGGGACGTGGGTGCCCCACCTTGTTTCAGGCTTTGATATTTATCAGCAAATCAGTTTGACCCTGGTCCCCCTCGCTGGCCCTACACCTTAGGCACAGTAGGCACTCAATCAGTATCTGTTGGCTAATTGAGCTGTCACTAATAGTGCCAGCCTTGTAACATCTGCTCCGCTCCTCCAGTTAATGAGATCTCTGCCATTTCTGTGGTTTACCACTTAACTTCTAGAGTGGGGAAGAAATCCTGATGAGCCAACAAGAGGTTTCAGCTCAAATTAGTACTTCAGGGAAGTCGCATGTGCCGCACTGTATTTGTGGAGGTTCCAGAAATGCGAATGCAGAGACGCTCGCAGGAGATGCAGCCCTTGGTACACTCCTCTATGCTTCACTCTTGGAGTGAAGTTATGTATTACGACTTAGGCCATTCTCCTGGGCCATAAATGCTCTGGCAAACGGAGATGCTTAGTGGTTTAGGGCTCACTTTCAGAAGTATCAATCCATAGTTCACACTCACTAAGAAAGCTGCCAAGGACCATGTGATTCCTGCTCAGAAATCCAGCGCTGGGATAGAAAGTCTGACTGGCCTTGACACCTTGAGCTCAGGGGTCAGCAACAAATTCTAGGTTTGAGCAACAAAGGTCAGTGCCGTCTGATGCTCATTTTTATGAGCAATTTGCCTCTCTTTTAGGGAGAAAGATTGCTAAAATGATTTTTTTAAGTATTATAATTACCTGATTTTTTTTATGTTCAAAAACTCAGCTTCCTCTATCTACGTCACAGCCAAAGTATCCTTTGAAAACAAAGCTTTATATCCAAAAGTCTGCTTTTCCAAAATTTTCTAATCTATGTGTTGGGGGCATAGGGTGTGGACAGGGAATGGGAGAAAGGGAAGAAAAAGATGTAGATGCTAATTTCTGACCATCTTGACATACACTGGGGTCAAAAGTATCATTTTCTTACTCGGTTTTAAATCTGAGTTCTTTCTTAAGCCTTAAATGCTAAAAGGAGCAGTGGATAGCCTGGCCTAGTAGAGAATTAAATGTCTCACAGATGGCTTCATCTGAGTACCACCACAGAGAAGTCAGAATGGAAAGCCCTACTGAGCAGGGTGGTGGATTCGGGTTTGCGGAGCAGTGCCATGCTTTCTGTGGACTGGAGACAGGGCCACCACTCACTAAAACTGTGTGCTCCATTGCAGCATGCTTTCACCCGTGTTAAAATGCATGTCTAGCAGATGGCAGCCTTTTTAAATATGTATAAATGAATGTACATAGAACATACTCTAGACTGTGAGGGGTCTTATTTTAATACACCTGGCTGTGGATGGCACGTCAGGGTGCTCTGAGTGTTTTAGTCATTCTGATCCAATATGTATTTTAGACACTGTCTCATAGCTGAAGGATCAAGAAGGCCCAAAGGTGTGTGGCTTCTCTGGGTTTTATTCCTGAGAGGCTGAATTAGAAAGGCTTTGATGGTGTCCGACACCAAGCCCTCTTTGTCAGGGGGCTTTTTTTCTCATCAGACTGGAGTTTGAGGGCAGCCGGGCCCGTAGGCTAAGGCATTGGAAACCTGCTCTCTGGAAATGTCCCTATCTTCTTAAGAAGGTGTATCTTCTGATGTTTAAACCAATGATGGATGTGTAGGTCACATCACTGTTCTTCTAATGGCAAATCTGTTTTCCCAGTTGAGAGAGACAGCGGTATACTTCTGTAAGAGCACATGTGGGTTAGGATCCATCTGTTCATGTGTCTGTAAAAATGCTTCTGTTCCAAAGTGAAGCCCAGGGAAACTCCCCCTTCAGCCAGATGCTGTGTGCGCTTGGTCGCACGCTGTCTTTCCTCTAAAGAGAGCTACTTTTGGAAAGTGGAGATTGTGGGTATCTTTTTCACCTTGGAGACTTGTTGGGTGAAAGAAAAAACAAAGCTGTCCGAACTTCCTTTTGTCCTGTGTGCAGAAGTCTGTTCTGTCATCAGACCACTAAACCACTTGCCTTAGTCTCTTGTGCAGTCTCCATGGCTTTTCGTGGCAGGAGGCTCTGCCTGTGGGAGTGGCCGAGCCCTCCAAAGCAGCTGGGTCTGGCTGCAGGGAGCAGTGGATCTGGGAAAGCAGTGTTCGCCTTGGCTGCCTGCGTTTTCATGCCGCCTGTCAAGGACTTTTGCGCTTCTCTCCACCTGTAACATGGCAACATTGCCTTCTCTCCTCTTGGTGCTCCTGGGCAAAACTGGAATTGGAAACAGAACTGGAGTTGTCTTCTTAAATCCTGCCTCAGTTCCGGCCTGGTGTGGTTCTTCACATGCCCTAACGTTGTCACATGGAAATGCCAATATCCTGCTATTCATGTTGCTTCATTTTAAGGTTTTTAAAAATCAAACAGAAAGCTCATTATTTCAATGAACAAGCTCTTAGGTTGGCAACAACACCTGACAGTGATCACAACTGAATCCCACGAAAAATTAAGGATTCAAGACTGGCGTGAAATGAAGAGGAATTTCACTTATGTGTTCCAGCCGCCACGTTGCTAGATGTTCCTGTCATGGCTGGATATTCACTGCTGGCCTTTCGGAGACAGATTCCTAATTGTTTGCAGTTGGAATGTTGCATCTAATCTTGGCATTTCAGCTGTTTATTTTGTGGAAATTTTTCTGGTAATATCCTACAGACAACTGCCTGGTGGAAGGGAGAAGGTAAGAAAAGAAGCTCACTCCAGGGGCCTGGCCTATTGAAATAGGCTGTCCCAACCCAAAGTAGCTGCTGCTGGAAGTCATCTGAAGGCTCTCAATCATTACAATGAGAAGATCTAAAAGTTGGGAAAGGGGCTTTAAGTCATTCCATCCAGTCTAGCCATAGGTGCTGACATTCTGCCTACAGCCATCCCACTAAGGGTTTGAACAATCTGGGCTTAAACACCTCTGAGGACAGAGAACTCACTACCTCCTGGGGGTATCTGGTTCTATCTTTGCAAACCTCTGGCTTTTCTTTGTTCTCTGTAACTTCCATCTGAGTCTCTGCCCAGTGGGGGCCACATGGAAGAAGTTGCTCATCTTGGTCAAGGATCTAATGGCTGGCACTGTCCCGGGGCATAACGAGTGTCTTGTGAAAAGGAGCAGGTAGCAGATAGACACTTTGTTGTCCTCACTCTCCAGCCCCCTGAGTATTGGTGCATTTAGTTCCTTGTTGGAGAATGTTGAGGAAATCCCACCAGCCTGGTTCGCTCACTTGTTCTTGCTGAAGCTGATCAAGGGCGTCAGCAAAGGCAGGGGTCCTATTGGCCTGATTAAAAAAACTCAAGACAGAGGAGGCCTTAGTTCTGTATTTGTCCCACAAAAATTGATGCTCATAGCACTTAGGGAAAACCTTACCTAGAAAATCTTAAAATATTGCTCTGTGTGGAATTTAAAGTTTCCATGACTGCTGAGGGTTTGTACCTTAAGATTCCTATAAGTACTTCACATACTGTTTTTACCAAGAAAATAGCTAAGGAACCTGGGGGAGTGGAAGCACCACATATCTCAGTGTCAAAGTAGTGCCATATTTTCAGGCTAGAAAGTCCTATAAGGTTGCTGTTGTCCAATTCATTTTTAGAGATGGGGAAACTAAAATCCAAAAAACTTTGCTTGAGTCACATGGCATTCTCTGGACTAACCTCTCGTCCTGCAGCATGACTGTAATCCAGTCTAAAGTGACCTGCCTCAGACTCTTGAGACCTTGCAACTGAGTAGAGGTTCCCAAGACCAACCTGTAGAACTCAAGGTTGAGTGAATGATTAGGACTGAAGCACTCAGTTGAGTTTTGTAAAACGAATGGGAGGGGCGAACAGAACTAGCCTATAATTTAAGACTAGGATTCAAAAGTCCTGGCAGGGTTTAGTGTTGTCCTAGAATCTAAATTCTCATGAAGTGGTCTTGCTCTGTGATCTGTTGGTCAGACCTCGGCCTTTCAGGTCGTTGTTGAAGCTTATGTGATTCACTTGGTGCTGATGGTACAGACAGTTCTGTGGCCCTGTGATGCACAAGCATTCCAGCCCCTTACTGGGCTAGACAGTTGAACTAAAGGACAGGTGAGCTCTGGAACATGCCCTGGGAAGCATGGTGCTTTAGGGGTGCCTTTTTATTCCTTTCATTTTTATTGCTGACTGTTTCCAATTCATGGTTAGGAAAGGTAAAGGTGATATGATGTTTTCAGGTAGACTGGGCAAGGTGGGACCTTTTTAAGGTAGAATGTCTACAATTAGTTATTTCATCTAGCTTGCATCTTAAAACAAACCCTCAGTTGCTTTCACTTAGTGAACGCATCTTTGCCAATGACAGGGTTGTACAGCATCCCTGTTTTACATTTCTATTATCCGTTACGCCCATCAGAGTGTTGGGGGTGTGGGTTTTCTTTCCATTTTGTAACTGCCTTATTGAAAAGCAAGTGCCCTTCCATTTCAAGCCTCCTCATATTGTACATGTTTC